AACCCCGCCCGCCGTCCGCGCTGCCACCGCCGCAGGGCACAGACTGGTCGCCGTGGGCCCCCGCCGCCTGCACGCCGTCGCCGATGCCGCCGCGCCTGCCGTCGCCGCCGCGTGACGGGTCGCTCACCGTCCCGCTGCCCTCGACCGCTGCGCCCCCTCGTCCTCTCGCTAGCCAGCGCAGCCGTCCTCGAGGCCCTCCACCTCCGCGCAACCTTCGAAGCCAGCGGCGCCTACCCAAACTTGCTGGCCGCGAACCCGCGCGCCGCCTTCCGCAACTTCGAGGCCGCCGCGCGCGCAACCAATGACCCCGCCGCGCTCCACCGGGGATGGTGGGTAGGGGAGGCGGTGGCCGCGAGCCGGAGGTGAGCAATTCTCCCTTGCCCGCTTCGCAGGCATTCTTTCGTCGGACAGGCTTTCTCTTCCAGCCGCAGGCATCCTCGGCCTCTGGCGCCGCAGGCCATCTATGCGCCCATGGCGCGGTATTCTTTCTCGTTCATTCACCCGTACCCCGCGCACCATACGCGACGCAAGACTCTCTTCCGCTTCTGCAAGATATTCGTTCTGCGGGCACCTCCCGCCTCAAGCTACGCAACACCACTACCGATGTCAACATCAATACCACGACCGCGGGCGCTCGATTTCTTGGTCCCCGCGCAAAGCAGCCCGGGCTCGCAATCCCAATACTAACAGCGGGCGCTGCCTTTCTCGCGCTGCCCGCCGTCAAGCTTCGTGCCGTGTCAAGATCTTCGTGCCTCGCCTTCAAGTACACGATCTTCTCGGCTCGCCGCTCAAGAGCCCGGGCCGTGCTTCTCTGTCTCCTTGCTCTCGGTTGGCGGCTCCTCCTGGCCTTTCCTCTGCTGAATATTCGAATGCCCACCCGCTGCGCTTGCTTTTCTGTGGGACGTGTTTTCTTCGGCGCCGAATAATTGTGCGTGCTCGAATTTTGAGTCGTTATCGCTTCTCGCATCCTCATGTCTTGTTTCACGACTGGATTGAGCGCTGGTTTTGCATGTATCATCTCTTTGTAGGCGTGCAATATGATTAATTCATTGCCTCTCTGCTCGTCCTCCGAGGTTGGACGTTGATTCCGCATCCAGGATGGAGACAGTACGTGCCGCTGGTGTCGTCCTTCGCCCCAGAATCATGGCTCATTGGGCCGCATCGCTTTCAGCGCTTCCTGAGGACGGTATAAGCAGCGATTCAGGTGCGTACCCAAGTCAATGCATATGTGATGTTTTCTAGTGATTTTGTGTTCTTGTAAAGGGACGCGTGTTTTTCAGCAAGGTACTGACACATGTTTTTTGTGTCTGAGTCGCGGTTGTGAGTCTCGTTTGGCTCAGCCGAGTGGTTAGGGAGGTATGGCTGCGTCCCGATACTTACTACCACATCATCTCATTATCGATCATCTCATCCCCAGGATACATTTGTTTATTGCTGGAGCCGATGCTCACCTCTCAACCCGGCGTACACGGACTTTTACTTTACTTTACTTTTCCTCTAGGGTTAGTTAGGGGTTATGATCAGGGCGGGATTCAGGTGCGTATCCAAGTTAATATATATGGTGATGTTAGTTGCAAGGTACTGACACGTGTGTTTCGTGTCTAGAGGTGCGGCTTGCATCCGAATGATTCGTGGAGGGAGGTATGGCAGCGTTTGAATTTCAGACGCCACGAGTTTAGAAAACACCGATTGCCAGAGGCGCGAAGTCCTTGAGCAATTGGAGGAGCTTAATTCACAAAGGATTCGGCGTCCAACATCCCGATACTACGGCGTGTTTTCATTTTATTTCGTCCCCGGTGCGATTCCTCCACAGGATCAGCGCTGACTTGAAGTGCCTTCGTAGATCGTAAGCTCTCATCCATTTAAATGACCTCGCGTGCGCATTCTCGCTTGCTTTAAGTGTACAGAGCATCGTTCGTTCGTTGGCTCTGCGGCGTTGTGGGTATTACATAGCTGATGGCGAGGCTTGATCCTGATTCCTGATTATGATGTTTCGCAGGCAGCGCAAGTCCTCGAGCTCAAATCAAGTCCACATGATCAAAGCAAGTCCTGTCATCTCCGCTTACCAGCGAAGCGCTTCACTTCCGCGCTCGCGCTGCGTTCTCCTCCGAGGTTCTGTTTCTGCAAGACTTCCGCTCTTCCGACTCACCAGATCAAGACATCATTTTTGTACATCTTCGCAACCAAGACGTATTTACTCCGAGGTTCCACAAGACTATGGTCGACCCAGTGTTCTAGTGTCCAGCTCCGCTCGTTCGTTCGTTCTGGATCTCTCTGCAGCACTCTGAGGATTCGCTGACGGCGAGTCTTCATCCTGATTTGATGTTCCGCAGTCAGTGCCCTCAAATCACGTCCTCAAATCAAGTCCTATCGTCTCCGCTCTGACGCTGGCGTTGCGTTCTCGGAGGTTCCGCTGTCTCAGTCCCGCAGCTCAGCTCGTGAGATCACAGTCCGAACTGTTTGATCCATCCTGATTATGCGTATTTAAGCAGGTCCACGGTAGGCGCCGTGTTCAACCTCAAATGCACTCTTCGATGTGAGTCCTTTCGTCTGGATCGCAACTGGATCGCCTCATATATGTACTCGCTAGTAAGGCGCGTTTTACTCCGCGGGTCTGCGAGACATTGCCACCACTGCTCACCTCGTGGCATCGCAGCTCGAGATTTCGAATCACCAGATTCGATTTCCTGGTAATCTCTTTCCTAATATTTGATTACCAAGCTCAGGAGTCCCTTGTCGCCGTAGCGCCACACATTATAATAAAATACCTTTCGAACTCTATTCTTGCACACATCATTTCATGGTTTTGCTGGGATACCTTGGGTGGGATTGGGACATATAAGGAAAATGTCGGGGCATACGGAACAAGATATGTACCAGAAATTGAGGGCAAAAATAAACCGTACTAAGTATCAGCCCATAGCCTGTCAAGTTTCAAGTTCCATCCCTTTCAGCTTCTGCATCGTCGGTGACAACTTGAGGTGACCCCGACTAGAATCGTGAATAGACATCGAAACAAGACGGATCTGCAAGAAGAGTCGTTAGCACTGCGAAAGGGAAAGAACTCGCCATCGCCTACATTAGACAAAGTTTGTATCTGTAGTACCAATGTGGATGTGCATCCCACCCTCCACAAGCTGCCGCAGAGCCGCAATAATTTCATCGTCAGGTTTGTCCTCCGGGCTGCACAGCAGCCGGAAAGATTGGAGCTGCGAGGGCCCCGCCGCGCGTCGGGCGGAGAGCACGCTGACCAAATCCTCGTATTCATGGTGATCAGGGAAGAATCGGCGCATCGTGAGGGTGCGGAGGTTCGGAAGGAGGTTGGGGGAGGTTGTTAGCACCGTGAAGAACTCAAACCGTCCTATCGAACTGATCTCGAGATGCGCCAGGCTGGGGACAAGAGTGAATAGGTTTGCTAAGTTTTGGGCTGACCAGTTGTCGATTGACCCTATATATAACGACTGCAGTGGCGGGGCTGACCGGGTTAGGAAGGAGATGATGGTGTCCTGCAGGATGGCGACGTCGGGTATGTAGAGGGTTTGCAGCGCAGGAAACGTGAAGTATGACAAAATTAATATGCTGCTGTAGTCATCGCCCTCTATACCAAGACGTAGATGTCGCAGGGAATTGTGAGTGAATGCTGTTAGATTGGGTGGGGGACTTTGGTGATAACACATTCGTTCGAAATTGCATTCCATGAGGTTTGGCGCGGCACGGATTAGCTCGGCGCATCCACTGGGGTTGTCCGCGTAAAAGCAAGAGCTAGGGTGGCCGGGATGATGGTTGCCTTGCCCAATGGTCAACATTTTTAGGCACGGAAACGAGGTGTCGATCTGCTGCAATGGCGTCTCGGACGAAAAGTACAGTTGTAATTTCTGCACCCGAGGTGCGTGCTCGTTCAGCACAGATGCTTCGGCTTGTGGTAACCATCCACGGAGGGAGATGGAGGTGGCACGAGTGCCAGCGCGTTTGAGCCAAGTGTCAAACAGGTGCTTGAACCCTGGTGCCTGTGGAAACTCGATCTGAATGCTGGTCCACAGCGCAAAGGTGGCTAGAGCGATATTGGACCACGAATGGCATACGTTCAGAAGAGCCATGGGCACTGTGAGCGGATCAGCTCGCGGGATGGCGGGGAGGCATCGCGTGAAGATATCAGATGAGATTTCGAATGGCAGCCGCGCCATCGGGTCCAGGATGGCGTTGAGATCGCGTTGGACGGCTGACCTGGTCTTTTCGAGGTCGCGGATGATTTCCATATGGTGGGATATAGCGGAGGCAAGGTCTTCGAGACGGGTACGGAGGGCAGCCGCGTCCGACATGGTGGTTGCAAGTCAAGCGTAAAATAATAGGAACAAATACACTGCCACCAACCCAACCGGTGCCGTTTCTCACCTACAGTATGCAGTGCGTTGTCTGGGTCGTTGAGCTCCGTCACAATGTACGTGAATGCGGATTGATATTGTTTGTCGCTCGCTGCTTTCAACTTTGATTGGGGGTCGACTCGTGTTGGTTGAACCGTTCCGCGGGGTGTCTTACTCAAACTTGAAGCTCAGGTGAGCTCTGGGATTTCTTTCCGGGCATTTGAGGCAGTAGCGACCGATTTTCTCGCTGACCGTTCAGCAGGTGAAAGACACAGTCAAAAAGGTAAGAGTCTAAAACGAGGGAAAAAGCCTCCTCGTAGCATACATGATCTGACCCCAGATGGAATGAGGATCTCCTGCTAAATACACTTGATAAGATTCTACATGTTAAGCAGGTGTACTGATCAATTATGCTATCAGGTCTTCCTTGGATCTGGTCTACTGTGGTATATAAGTGGGACAAATGGGACTTGAACAATGCAACTGCTCGGGAGGATTCAACCAAAATAACTTACTTGGACAATCCGTGGTTGTCATTTATTCTGAGCAAGGAAGCCTAGCGTTGGGATACTAGAACGAGTCCAGCAAATTGTTAGCCAGTTAGAAGCAAAATTGAAGGAAAACGGGACTCACAGAGGATGACCCGACTCCGGATCAAACGGGGATCTCCTGCCTTCCAAGCATATTATGGTCAGCAGGTACACTAACCAATTATGCCATCAGGTCTTTCCTATTAGATCTGGTCTGTTGTGGTCTAAGTGGGACAAAAAATTGAACCTTGAACCCGGGTTCTAATTTCTAATTTGCATCGGATTCAACTACTTCTTGGCAGACTCAGAGATTCAACAGAATACATTGGCTTGCCTGCATCATTGACTATCATTTCACATTTCATTTGACCAAGGAAGAGCTGCTTTGGAATCAGAAAATGCTCTGCAGGATGTTAGCCAGTTGCGAAAAAAAAAATGAGAGAAAAAGTCGCACCACCCTGGTTCATGGCCTGACCCCGAATCGAACAGGAATCTCCTGCTGAATAGACGAGCTAACATAACTTTAGCAGACACACTAGCACATCATACTATCAGATCTTTCTTATGCTTGGTATACTGTGGTATACAGTGTAAGTAGAACAAAAAAGTGGGACGTGAACCTGATTGGTAGGTTAATCAAAAAATAAATTGGAGTTTCTAATCTGGGCTTGCCTGTCGTTTTAGCAAGGAAGAGCAGCATTGGGATAAACGAGTGAGCTCCGCGGGATGCTAGCCAGGTGCGAAAAAATTTGAAAGAAAAAGATTCTTCCTCTTTAAATGCATGGCCTGACCCCGAATCGAACGGGGATCTGCTACTGAGTCCTTTTCCTCAGACCAATATGAGCAAGTGCACTAGCCAATTATGCTATCAGGTCTTTACCATGTTTGGTCCACTGTGGTATAACAGAGAGAAAGGTAAACTTCAATAGTTCAATCTTGGGTGGCTTCAACCAGAAAATAAATTGTATCTTGCTCGGAGCAGCCTTGACCGTCAATTTATCAGAGCAACAAAGAGCAGCTTTGAGTCGGCGAGCGAGCTCCGCAGACTGCTATATACAGTTGCCAGTTGCCCAACATATGAAAAAAACCGACATCCTGCATGATGACCTGACCCCGAATCGAACAGAGATCTCCTACTAGATATAACTAGATGCCTTCCCCAGGTTAAGCAGGTGCACTAGCCAATTATGCTATCAGGTCTTTCTTGTATGGGGTATACAATGGATAGTAGCTATAATTGAGTTAGTGACTCTGATGACTGTGAGGCGAGTGTTGAATAATGATACATGGATCTCCGTGGATTCTGAATTCATCCTGCGGTAAGGACGTGAATTCATTCTGCGGTACGGGCACGGGTGGATATCATGTCGAGAGGCAGAAGCGAGTCTAAGCGAGAGGTAGGAACGCAGCGTGTGTGGTGGGAAGACGGGTCGGAGTCGGAGGACTGCGGGAAGAGGCCGCGGAGACGACGTTGAGTGACAACATGAGGATTCGAGTTGAGAGCTAAAGCGAAGAGCGTTCCGTGCAGCAAGGACCTGCGGATCCCAGAACATCGCGACCGCAAGTTTGCGGAGCATAGACGCGATTCGGGTGATCCGCGTTCGATATCGATCCGCATGCGGGAATTGTGGTGCTGAATGGTTGCTGCGCTTGAATAAAGCCGCTCGCAAGTGCTGCGGTTGGTTTCATGGCAGTGCATCGAGGGCTGGCAGGAGCGAGTGCGGTGCTGAGCATCCCAGTTGCGCGTCAGAAGACGTATGTAATAAAAATCACGGCAAAACCACGTCGGCTAACAAGCGCCGGCTGTGCACCCGAAAATAAAAATATTTAATCCGTCTCCGTGTGTCTCTCTGCATGTCTCTCCCGCCGGTTCCTCCACGTCCATACTCTGCGACGCCGACGCCGCACCTCAACTTTGAATCCCCGCCGCATTTCCAGAACCCGCTGGCTGCGCCACGACCGCACCACGTGGATCCGAGCCTGGACGCGAACGTGAGTGTGATCGATTTTACGTAGTAGTCGGCAATGGCGTGGCTCATGCGCGACTGCCCGCTGCTGCTGTGGGGCTGGTGCTGGGACTGGGATGATACTGACTCTACGCTTCAGATGGCCCGCGATCTCGACAACAGCTCCGCTTCAGTATTCATACAACCCCGCCCGCCGTCGGCACTGCCGCCGCCGTAGGGCGCAGACTGGTCGCCGTGGGCCCCCGCCGCCGCCGCCGCCGCTGCCGCCGCCCGCACGCCGTCGCTGATGCCGCCACGCCTGCCGTCCCCGCCGCGTGACGGGTCGCTCACCGTCCCGCTGCCGTCCACCGCCGCGCTCACCGCCGCGCTCCCCACCGTCACCGCCCCCTCCCACGACCCCCAGCTCCAACTCGCCTGGGCCCGCGACGTCCTCTTCCTCGTCGACGCACCCCGTCCTCTCCACCCCACCCCCCCCCGCCCCCCTCGTCCTCTCGCTCGCCAGTGCGGCCGTCCCCGAGGCCCTCCACCTCCGCGCAACCTTCGCAGCCAGCGGCGCATACCCTAACTTACTGCCAGCGAACCCGCGCGCGGCCTTCCGCGACTTCGAGACCTCCGCGCGTGCAGGGTACGCCCCCGCGTGGTTCCGCCTCGCCCGCGACTATGAAGTGTTCAACGACTCCGCGCACGCCCTCGACTGCCTCACCCGCGGCGCGCGCGCCAACGACCCCGCCGCGCTCCACCGTCTCGGCGCCGTACTTCCACCGCGCCGCCGTGCGTGAGTCTCCAGTGCCCGGTGGGTGGGGGAGGCGGTGGCCGCGAGCCAGAGGCGAGCAAGTCTCCCTGTCCGCGCCGCAGGCATTCTTCCTTCGGGCGCCGCAGACTTTCTCTTGCCGCCGGAGGCATCACCTTCCCGTGCGCCACAGGCATCCCCTTCCCGTGCGCCACAGGCATCCTCGTCCTCGGGCGCCGCAGGCACTCTATGCGCTTGTCGTGAGGTATCTTCGGGCGCATTCTTTCCTGTTTATTCACCCATCCCCCGCGCACCATGCGCGACGCAAGACCGTCTGCATAAGATCGCGGCGTTCCCGCGAGGACCTCAAGCCCTGATACCGATACCGACACCGATGCTGAGGCAAGACCCGCTCTCCCTCGGTTTCTCTCGACCCCTGCACAAGACCACCTCAAGCTACGCAATACCAATACCGATATCAATACGATGACCCCGGCGTTTCGATGCCTCTCAATAGCGGTATACTCAATCTCTGGCTCCGCGCTCAAGTTACGCAATCTCAATACTAACAGCGAGCGCCAACCGTTCTTGCGCTGCCTGCCATCAAGCTCCGTTCCGCTGTGTCAAGATCGTCGTGCGTCGCCCTTCAAGTACAAGATCCTCGTGGCGACGAGCGGCAAGAATTCGAGCTCAACTCAAGAGCCGCGCTTCTCCGTCTTCTTGCGCTCGGTTGGCGCGACTCCTCCTGACCTCTCTCCCGCTGCTGAATATTTTATGCCCACATACTGCGCGTGCTTTTCTGTGGGACGGGGTGGATTGTGCCCCGGCGTCGATTAATTGTGCGTGCTCGCGCATTGATTGACAACTTCTCGCTATGTGTATGTATTGTTTCACGGCGAGATTCAGCGCTGCGTTTGTATGTATCATCCCTTCGTAGAGGTGCAATATAATTGATTGACTACCTCTCTGCCCGTCCTCTGAGGTTGATTCTGCATCCAGGATAGAGTAAGCACGGGCCGCTGGCTTCGTCCGTCGCCCGGTGATCTCTGTTTACTGTCTCACTGCGCTTCGGTTAGGTTTCAGCATTTGCCAGACCGTTATGAGCAGCGATTCCGGCGCGTATTCAAGTCGAGGCTCGATGTTACTGGCTTGTATTTTCTTTTAGCTGCGAGATTAACTGGGAGTCTTATCCAGGACTCGTTGAAGGTATGTATTGAAGCCGTTGGATCCGAGGGAGGATTCAGCGCTCAGCCTCCAACCTCCCGATACTCACTATCACATCATCCCATCTCCAGGATTCGTTTTTATTCCCTCGAGGCGATGGGTCGCTTCTCAAGCCGGCGTATTTTTATTTCAGTTCTCCTACGGTGCGATTCCTCGGGAGCGGCGGCACTGGAACCGGGGCAGCAAAACATTCACATTAACGGGATCAACGCTGCGTCTCCGTCTGTTTGAATCCACTTAGAGTGGTCATTCTCACTTGCTTGAACTGTGCAGATCATCGTTCGTACGTTATCTCTGTATTTGGAATGGGATGGTCAGTATTAGCAGGTGACGGAGTCTTGATCCTGTTCCGCAGGCAGCGCCATGTTTAACTTCAATTTATCACGTCCTGAAATCAACTACAGCCGTTCGGCAGCGAAGCGCTTCAGTGGCTCGTAAGTGGCGTGTTCTCAGAGGTTCTGCAAGACTTCCGCTGACTCGGTCTTCCAGCGCACCTCGTGAGATCGCAGTCCGAATCGTTTAACTTCATCCTGATTGTTTGCGCACGTCCACGCTCAGTGCCGTGTTCAATTTCTTCAAGGCAAGTCCTTTCGTCTAGATCGCGTCATTTCGCTACCAAGGCGCATTCTCCTCCGAGGTTCCGCAAGACTTCGGCCGACTCATTGTTCTGCGTAGTTTCCAGCTCCGCTCGTTCGTTCGTTCGTTCGTTCTAGATCTCTCTGCAGCGCTCTGAGGATTCACTGACGGTGAGTATTAATCCTGATCCGATGTTCCGCAGTCAGTGCTATGTTCAACCTCAAATCACGTCCTCAAATCAAGTCCTATCGTCTCCGCTCCGAGTCACCAGCGAAGCGCTTCATTTCCTCGCTGGCGTTGCGTTCTCCGAGGTTCCACAAGACGTCCGCTGTCTCAGTCTCGCAGCTCAGCTCGTGAGATCACAGCCCGAACTATTTGATTCATCCTGACTATGTGTATTTAAGCAGGTCCACGGTAAGTGCCGTGTTCAACCTCAAATGCAGTCTTCAAGGTGAGTCCTTTCGTCTAGATCGCAACTGGATCGCCTCATTTATGTACCCGCTAGCAAGGCGCGTTTTACTCCGCGGGTCTGCGAGATATTGCCATCACTGCTCACCTCGTGGCATCACAGCTCGAGATTTCAAATGCAGGCTTCAAGGCAGGTTTTTTCGCCTACATGTACTCGCTCGCAAGGCATGTCGCAGCGCCTTTTGAAATTTGACTCTGAGGTTCCGCAGGACCCCAGGACTTCCGCTGAATCAGTCTCGGGCTGCGATGACCACATCCTCGTTTATGGATCCGAGAAAAACATCGGCGTAGTGTATCATCAGACTCAATTTTCAAGTAACTTGAACTTCTGTCCTAATACTTGATCAACGTCCCTCGTCGCCGTAACGCCACACATAGAACACCTTTCGAACTCTCTTCTTGCACACGTCATTTCATTGGTTTGCTGGCATACTTTGGGATGCCGTATGGGATTGGGACATGTAAGGAAAATGTCAGGGCGCACGGAACAAGATATGTACCAGAAATTGAGGGCAAAAAGAAACCGTACTAAGTATCAGCCCATAGCCTGTCAAGTTTCAAGTTCCATCCCTTTCAGCTTCTGCATCGTCGGTGACAACTTGAGTGGACCCCGACTAGAATCGTGAGTAGACATCGAAACAAGACGGATCTGCGAGAAGAGTCGTTAGCACTGCGAAAAGGAAAGAACTCGCCATCGCCTACATTAGACAAAGTTTGTATCCGTGGGCCCAATGTGGATGTGCATCCCACCCTCCACAAGCCGACGCAGAGCCGTAATAATCCCATCATCAGGTTTGTCCTCCGGGATGCACTCCGACCAAAGCAGCCGGAAGGATTGGATCTGCGACGGCCCCGCCGCGCGTCGGGCGAAGAGGACCTTGACCAAATCCTCGTATTCATCGTGATCAGGGAAGAATTCGCGGACCGTCAGAGTCCGGAGGTTCGGAAGGAGGTTGGGGGAGATTGCTAGGACCGTCAAGAGCTCAAACTCTTCTCCCGAGCTGATCTCGAGATGTGCCAGGCTGGGGACAAGAGTGAATAGGCTTGCTAAGTTTTGGGCTGACCAGTTGTCGATTGACGCCATATATAACGAATGCAATAGCGGGGCGGACCGGGTTAGGAAGGAGATGATGACGTCCTGCGGGATGTAGCCGGGTATGTACAGGGTCTGCAGCACAGGAAACGTGAAATACAACAAAATGAATACGCTGCTGTATTCGTCGCCCTCTATACCAAGACGTAGATGTCGCAGGGAATTGTGAGTGACTGCTGTTAGATTGGGTGGGGGACTGTGGCGATAACACACTCCTTCGAAATTACATTCCACGAGGTTTGGCGCAGCACGGATTAGTTCGGCACATCCACGGGCATCGAGCGAGAAGAAGACTGCGCGGTCGGGATCGCGGTCGTCTTGCGCAATAGTTAGCGCTTTTAAGGACGGAAACGACGTGTTTATCTGTTTCAATGGCGTCTCGGATGAAAAGTACAGTTGTAATTTGTGCACCCGGGGCGCGTGCTCGTTCAGTACAGACGCTTCAGCCTGCGGTAACGGTCCACGGAGGGAGATGGAGGTGCCACGAGTACCGGCGCGTTTGAGCCAAGCATCGAATAAGTGCTCGAACCCTGTTGCCCGTGGAAACTCGATCTGAATGCTGGTCCACAGCGCGGAGGTGGCTAGAGCGATATTGGACCACGAATGGCACACTTTCAGAAGAATCATGGGTGCCGTGAGCGGATCAGCTCGCGGGATGGCGGGGAGGCATCGCGTGAAGATATCGGACGAGATTTCGAATGGCAGCCGCGCCATCGGGTCCAGGATGGCGTTGAGATCGCGTTGGACGGCCGACCTGGTCTTTTCGAGGTCGCGGATGATTTCCATATGGTGGGATATAGCGGAGGCAAGGTCTTCGAGACGGGTACGGAGGGCAGCCGCGTCTGACATGGTGGTTCCGAGTCAAGCGCAAAATAACAGGAACAAATACACTGCCACCAACCCAACCGGTGCCGTTTTTCACCTGCAGTATGCAGTACGTTGTCTGGGTCGTTGAGCTCCATCCCCATTTGCGTGAACCTGGATTGATATTGTTTTGTCAATCTCGCCGCTTTTAACTTTGATTGGGGTTGGTTGAACCGTTCCGCGGGGTGTCCTGCTCCAACTTGAAGCTCGGATGAACTCGGGAATTTTTTTGGGGGCCGCTTAGGCAATAGCGACCGATTTTCCCGCTGACCGTTCAACCGTGTGAAAGATCTGGGTTGTGCATTGGACAAATTAACTGGAAATAACGGTTCAAAAAATCCTCCAGACCAGAGAGATGGCCATTTCAGAGCTGGAACATCGCGCTGAAAGATGATCGAAAAAGCAAGAGTCTGAAACGACGGCGATCTCCTGCGTACACTGGTTCATCACAGGTGCACTAGCCATTTATTCTATCAGATCTTTCTTAGACCTCTTCCACTGTGGTATAAGTGGTACCAAGATGAGGTTGAACCTGGCTTCTAATTCCAAGTTTACATGAGAAGTGTTACTCGGAGATTCAACCAAAGATAAATCAGCTTGCTCAGATCATTGACTGTCACTTTACTCGAGTAAGAACAGAAAAATTGGCACCATCGAAGCGCGGCAGGACGGTGCACAGCTAGTTGAAAGACAGAACAAAAATCAAGGAAAAAGATATATCACTTCAAGCTAACGACCTGATCCCGGATCTCCTGCCAGAACTTCCCTTTGTACATATGATAAGCACGTGCACTTACCACTTATGCTATCAGGTCTTCCCTGACTCCCTTCCACTGCGGTATAAGTGAGACAAAGGTGAGCTTGAACGAGGCTTCTAATTTCAAGTTTACATGCGAGAAGTACTTCTTGGGCAGACTCGGAGATTCAAGCGAAGAAATTGCGGCTTGCCTGGATCATTGGTTTCATTTCAGCAGGGAAAGCAGTTTTACAATAATAGAACGAGCCCTGCAGGATGTTAGCCAGTTAGAAGCAATATTGAAGAAAAAAATCACCGCCGACAATAGCCTGGTTGCGCAGGAGCCATTGGAGCCATATGATGGCATTTTTGCTGTGCGCAACTGGATGGCTCCACAGCCAAAATCAGGCCAAAATCTGACGTCAGTGGCTTTGTGGAGCCATTCACCCGCCAAATTTGCGCACGCCCCACAAGCCATCAAATGGCTCCAATGGCTTCTGCGCAAGCTCTCTAATGACCTGACCCGGATCGAACGAGGACCTCCTGCTTAACTTTTACGAGCCCAGTATGTTGACCAGGTGCACTAACCATGTGTGCTATCAGATCTTTCTTAGATCTGGTCTGCTGTGGTATAATTGGGACAAAAATAGGGATTTGAGCCCGGGTTCAATTGCTTGGGCAGGTTCAACCAAATAAATTGTATCTTGCTCGGATGCTCTGTGGTTGTAATTTAATCTGAGCAACTTGAAGGAACTGACTAGCGTTGGGATAAGGAAATGCTCCGCAGGATGTTAGCAGGTGTCCAAAAAATGAAAGAAAAAGCTGGGAGTTTTGGTATATGATCTAACCCCGAATCGAACGGGGATCTCCTGCTTAAACCTTGGATTCGCGATATGTTGGGCAGGTGCACTAACCAATTATGCTATCAGATCTTCCCTAAGCTTCTTCCACTGTGATATAGGGGGACAAAAATAGGGATTTGAACCTGATCGGGCAGGTTAAACCAAAAAGAAATTGAGTTTCTAGGCTGGGCTTGACTGTCGTTTTAGCAGAAGGGCGACTTTAGAGTAAAAAATGAGGCCCGCAGGATGTTAGCCAGTAATGAGACAAATTGAGAAAAAAAGAACCACGGTATCACCATACGACCCCGGATCGAACGGGAATCTCCTGCTGAAGCCGAAGAGACTTCAATCAAGTTGAGCCGGTGCACTAGCCAGTTGTGCTATCAGATCTTGCTTATTGATGGTACAGGGTGAGATAAGTACACTGCGGGCAATGACCATTTTTATGACTGATTTTAATGAGAATTTATCTTGATATTTTATGTAATTGTATCAGAATAAAATCAAGGCTTTCAGTATGATAGTATAGTGATTTTATCAACTATCACCATAGTATCATTGATTTTATGGTGAATTACCTATAACATCACCATAAAATCAATTGATATTATTGTGATACTATTACATAAAATATCCTTATGAATTCTGAGTGAAAGCAGCAGTAAAAATGTACCTTGCCCACAGTGGTAGGTACAATTGAGCTGGTCACTCTCAGTCTGGTGACTCAGAGGCGAGTGTTGAATAATAATAAATGGATCTCCACGAGTTCATTCTGCGGTAGGAACATAAACTCATCCTGCGGTAAGTACACGGGCGGATATCATGTCGAGAGGCAGAAGCGAGAGGTAGGAACGCAGCCTGTATGTTGGGAACTTGGAAGCGGGTCGGAGCCGGAGGACTGTGGGAAGAGGCCCGGAGGCGAGATCGTGGCAACACGGGCACTCGACTCGGAGGAGTATGGCCTCGAGGACGATCGAGGTGTGTACGAGAACCAAAGCGTTCCGTGCAGCAAGGACCTGCGGATCCCAGAACATGGCGACCGCAAGTTTGCGGACATAGACGCTCTTCGCTTGATCCGCGCGATATCGATCCGCAGATGCAGGATTTGTGGTGCTGCATGGTTGCTGCGCTTGAATAAGCCGCACTGCGGTTGATTTCAGGGCAGTGCATCGAGAGCTGGCAGTGCTGGGCATCCCAGATGCGCGTGAGATGCGCGTCAGAACCACTGGGACAGTTTCACGGCAAAAACCACGTCGGCTAGCAAGCGCCGGCTGTGCAGCCTAAAATAGAAATATTTAATCTGTCTCCGTTTGTTGCCTCTGCATGTCTCTCCCGCCGGTTCCTCCCCGCCCATACTCTGCGACGCCGACGCCGCACCTTACCTTTGAATCCCCGCCGCATTTCGATAACCCGCTGGCTGCGCCACGGCCGCACCGTGTGGATCCGAGTCTGGGCGCGAACGTGAGTAGTATTGTAGTGGATTTTACGTAGGAGCGTCGATGGCGTGGCTCATGCGCGACTGCCCGCTGCTGCTGTGGGGCTGGTGCTGGGACTGGGATGATACTGACTCTGCACTTCAGATGGCCCGCGATCTCGACAATAGCTCCGCTTCAGCATTCATACAACCCCGCCCGCCGTCGGCACTCCCGCCGCCGCAGGGTGCAGACTGGTCGCCGTGGGCCCCCGCCGCCGCCGCCGCCGCCGCCCGCACGCCGTCGCCGATGCCGCCGCGCCTGCCGTCCCCGCCGCGTGATGGCAGCCTCACCGTCCCGCTGCCGTCGACCGCCGCGCTCACCGCCGCGCTCCCCACCGTCACCGCGCCCTCCCACGACCCCCAGCTGCAACTCGCCTGGGCCCGCGACGTCCTCTTCCTCGTCGACCGCACCCCCTCGCTCTCCACCTCCCCCCTCGCCCTCGCCGCCGCGCCACTCGTCCTTTCTTTGGCCAGCGCAGCCGTTCCCGAGGCCTTGCACCTCCGCGCAACCTTCGCAGCCTCCGGTGCCTACCCAAACTTGCTGCCCGCAAACCCGCGCGCGGCCTTCCGTGACTTCGAGGCCGCCGCGCGCGCAGGGTACGCCCCCGCCTGGTTCCGCCTCGCCCGCGACTACGAGGCCTTCAACGACTCGGCCCACGCCCTCGACTGCCTCACCCGCGGCGCGCGCGCCAACGATCCCGCCGCGCTCCACCGTCTCGGCGCCGCCCACCTGCTCGGCCAGCTCGGCCTCGCTGCTTCGCCCGCCGAGGCCGTGCCGTACCTCCACCGCGCCGCCGTGCGCGCCAGTCTGCAGTGCCCGCAGCCCGCATATGTCTTTGCGCTGATTCTGCTCGAGGAGTTCAGCGTGCGGGTCGCGCCGGGGCTGCTGGCGCCGTTCTTGCCGGGGGGACAGAGCGCGGGGCAGTATGCGAGGGCGTTGCTGGAGAGGGCGGCGGCGCTGCATTTTGCGCCGGCGCAGTATAAGCTGGGGCATGCGTTTGAGTTTGCGGTCCCGCCTGCGTGAGTGTCTGCTTTCCCTCCCTCACATTCCCATTCCTCTCCGTTCCCATGCCCATTCCCCTCCGTTCGCTCCCTCCCCATTCTACTCCTCCTCCTGCCTCCTCCCCAGCCGCCCTGGCTCCTCCTCTCCCCCACCTTGCCTCCCCCTTCTGCGCTATTCGCTCGCTACCCACGCCCATGCCCACCCTCTTCTCATCCCGTCACTCCTTTACTTTACTTTCCCTTCTCCCCACCCTCATTTCTCCTCCCCGCGTGCTTCCCCAACGGAATTGCCGACCGAAATTACATCACCTTCACTGCTCGCGTTCTGCCCTGTTCTATTCGCTCGCTACCGCATCCCTCCCCTCTCCATACCCCCCTTGCGTCTTTTTTCCGCCCTCCCCGCGTTCTTCTAATTGGGTTACCTTTACTGGCTCCACCTTTCCCGTTCTGTGTCTTTTCCTCCCCATTCTTCCACCCTCCCCTCCCTCCCCCTACTCCTCCCCCCACTTTCTGGCTCTTATATTCCCCTCCCCCACTCCCCTCCCCATCATTGTGCATTTAACCCCCCTCCTCCCGTCCTCTACGCGCGCTAACTCCCCTTCTGCACAGCGCCTTCCCCTTCGACCCGCTGCTCAGCGTGCAGTGGTACAGCCTCGCGAGCCAGGCGGGCGAGGCCGAGGCGGACATGGCGCTCAGCAAGTGGTTCCTTTGTGGCGCGGAGGGTAAGTTTGGCTCCTTTTGCGATTCGATTCGATTCGTTTGTATTGCGCCGTGGTCGGGCGACGCCCGTCTGCCCCACCGCGGCCTCTGGTGTGTGTCCCTGTGCGTCGACCGCGCAGGACGTGTCGGACGTCGAGCGCCGATGTCGCGTGTCGCGTGTCGAGGGTGGCCTGGGCGCGACGGGAATGGCTGGCGTGACATGTCGCGTGTCGAGGCGGTGTGGTGGCGGGTCCCCGGGATTGGCGTGGCATGGCGTTAGGTGTGCGGGTGTGTCAGCGCTTGGCGGGGTGGCGGTGGGCGGGCCTGCGTGACGGGACGGGCTGGCGCCGACGGAGCTCTTCCTCCTCCTCCCTCCTACCTTTCCTTCACTTTCCATCAGACCGCGCGCGTCACTACTCCTTTTCTCCCTCCTCTCCCCCTCCCCCTCCTCCTCGTTCTCCCATCCTTCTCTCATCTCATGCCCATCTCTCCTCCTCATACTCACCCTCCCTTTTTTAGGCGCCTTCGACAAAGACGAGTCCCTCGCGCGCACCTTTGCGGCCAAGGCCGCCGCCAAGGGCCTCGCCGCGGGCGAGTTTGCGATGGGGTATTATTGCGAGGTGGGGATTGGGGGGGCAAGGGATATTGATGGCGATGGGAGGGGTGGGGTGGGGGCGCGGGAGTGGTATGCGAAGGCGGCGGCGCATGGGAACGCGGACGCGGCGGAGAGGTTGCGGGCGTTGGCGCAGCCGGCGGCGCAGGTGGGTTTTTTCGTTTCGGTTCCTTTCTTTTCTTTTCCCGGGGATGGTGGGTGGGGAGGCGGTGGCCGCGAGCATAAGCGAGCGCCCTTGCGAGCCGGAGGCGAGCAAGTCTCCCCTGGCCGCGCAGCAGGCCTCCTCTAATGCTTCGGGCGCGGGGGTGTGAACAGGATGTGACGCGATGCAGGACCGCGGCGCGGTCCCGCTCCCCTCCACACGCGGATTTACTCCCCGCTCGCTTTCCTCTCCTCGTCTTTCTTATCCATCCCCTTCCCCCGCTTTCCAGACTCCATTCGCCATAACACTAAGATCCTCTTCGCATCCTCTTTTGCTTTCGCATACCCCTCTTTTCATGATACGATACGAAGATGCTGACGCCGTCTTGATTTGGCAGGCACTGGGGCGGACGGAGCACGACGCGCTGACGGGGGACAAGCTCGTGCGGAAGCGGACGCAAGCGAGGATGAGGAGTGATCGGGAGGGTGGAGGGTGAGTTTCTCTTTCTCTTTTGTCAGCCTGTGCTAACTGGCGTTTCCCCCAGCGCGCCATACACCGCCGAGCCCGCTGAATACGCGAACCCGCACCCAGAAGCGCCGACGCCGAACCCGTACGGCGCCCCGCCCGCCGGGCGCGCGCCGCCGTCCGCCTACCCTGCGCAGGGGGCGTATGGACAGCAGCAGCAGCCAGCGGGCGCATACGGGCGGCCACCACCGCAGCAGCAGCAGGACCCGGCGCAGCGGCGCACGCGCGTGATGGAGCTTGCGAGGAAGAGCTCGCTCGCGGATGCGGGTGGAAGCCATTATCGGAGTGGGAGCGCGGGCGGGGGGGCGGGCTTTGATTATCGGACGGGGAGCGCGCAGGGGCAGTATGGGACGCCGCCGCCGCAGGGGCAGGGATATGGGGGCGCACCGCAAGCGCAGGGAGGTCATCCTGCGGGTGCGGGTGCGAGGCGGATGCCGCCGCTCGCGGAGCAGCCGCAGCACCGGATGTCTGGAAGGGAGGGGAGCTTGCCGCCTGCGCCCGCGCCGGGGCAGGGGCCGAGGCTGCACCCGGGAGCGAGGGAGGGGAGTTTGGGGGTGGGGAGGGGGTATGCGTTGAGTGATGGGGGGCCGCAGCAGCCCCCAGCGCAGGGTGGGAACGGGAGCCGGCCGGGGAGC